AGAACAGACCGGAAACCTTCAGAACTTGATGCTAGAATTCCTCACAAGCTTGCTCTGTCAAACATAGTTTTACTTCGGTGGTCTTCTCTTCCAAATCGGGCAATGTCGAGGTGGATGTCGCATGAACGAAAAAAAACTGCACAATCTCGATTCACCCCTGTCCACGATCCCCTGTGAATGGAATACACTTCAAGGGTTCGAGAAACAACTTTGCGAGATGATTATCGATGGAATGGCCCGTTGCACAAATGAAAATATGACCAGATATTTTTAGAGTAGAGCTGCATCTGTTGCGAATTGCATGACAAACCGTTAGGTTGAGTATGCTCCAGCAAACCGCCACGACAAACCCAAAACAAGAATTCTTTGCAATACTTTGAAGTTTACGATTGAAGACTTTACATGTCGATTACAGTCGTACTTCCGTCATACAGTGAGTATAACTATCCTCATAGCACTTACATCACATCGGAGGGGGCATATTCAATACAATAATCCATCACTAACAAACACAATCGTCGAAAACCGATTTGCCCAACCAACGACGTCAGAACTTTGAAGAAGTTTGGAATTGCGTTAGAAAAAGACAGTCCTCTTCAAATAGCTCTGGAATTGCGCAATGTCTACGCTACTGTACAGTAGGTAGTACCGGAAATGTTTGGGCTCCCCTCACCAACTTGTAGGAGGTTCATCAATCGCAAAAATTACAATTGCTCTGCCTGAGAAGGTGCTTCAATCATCAGATATTCCTCTGATCCTTTCCCTGAAAGCAGAAAAATATTCTAAGTTTATCTCTGCTGTTCGAAACGGGTCCCCGACTGGTGGAATGAGATAGCCTCGCGACGAAGTGTATACAAAGAGAACGCGTTACGGGGTAGTACCACTCTCAGACACTTCCTCCTTTCGTATCCCCTGTATCAGACTCGAGGGTCCACACCGAGAGGCTGACTGCGAGGACTTTCAGCTGGAGGACTCGTCACGGTGATACTTTTGATGCAAGCGAAAAGTCCAAGTTAGGGAAAACACTTTAGGGTGCGAATGGCCTGACCACTCTTCCGTTGATAAGTGGATAATCTTTGGTCTCGACGACTACAAATATTGGCGAAGAATCAGTAATATTGATTCAACATATTATGTTGATGTGCGGTAGTGTATGAATTGGGCTCTGACCTGCTCTCCATTTCTGTCCTCATTTCTCATGCGAAACGAATAAAATCCCATCTGCAAGACGGATGTACCGCCTATTTAAGGAGTGTCCGAATGTTTATTTCACGGGCTAGACCAAGAGCGGATAAATGTTGAAATATTCGGCATGTCAGCATCAAATACATAGATTGCACCAATACAATGCTGCCCGCACCGTGGCAGCACTGTATGGGTAGGTCGCAAGCACGCGGTGTAGTAGTTTTGGTGCCAAGTTAACATTTTTGTCAATGTACGGTATTTGTATGAGGCAAGAAATATCGTTCGCTGGACCAGGGCGGCGAGGGTAGGCGTCGAAAGTCCGAGCCATCCCTCACGCATCTCTTGGAGGGTTTCCATCCTCCCACGCTCAATACAGTACTCTGGTAGGAATGAATAGCAGTGGAAAAACACATGTGACAAGCGCAAGCAGGACGAGGAATGAGTCTGAGACACCTTCCACGTCGACCACAAGGCGGATGGATTGCGCAAGTGCACCCGCAGACAGAGGCGGTTGCAGTTTGCTCGGGAGGTTTGGAAAACAATTAGGCAGTGTCTTTGCTTTGTCACTGTCTCAAGGTGTGTGAGCATGGAATTCTCTTGTGCGAGTGAGCAAAAGTACGAGAGGACTAGGTTGAGGAAGGGAAAAGAAAACAGTGGGGTGCAGTATACAGTGGCATACCGAACTTGGTGCCTGGTTTCCATAGAACTCGAGGCAAGTCTTGTCAAGTGACATGTACAGAAGAAGTGAAGGTTTTGTCCGGTAACAGCATTGTACAGTATTTGTCGAGAAGAAGGTACAGTAGGCATTATTGATAGGAAGGTGTAGTGTAATAGATGGGTTTGCGTTGCGGTTTAAGTGTCACAAGAAGGACGGAAGCACAGTACCAACGGTAGCATACAGGACGAGAAAGTTTGGGGCGTGCACGATTGGCGATTGCGATGTCGAAAGTTAGTTGATGATGATGATGTGCTGTGATGAGCGGAAGGCGGAATGTTTGGAGTGCTGAAGCAGGCGCACGTCCATGCCTTTCTGGCTTTTTCTACAGGCTTGCAAAGACAGCAAAGGCTTGCAAGGACGGCAAAAGGTTTGCATTGCTGCATGCGCAGTATCCGCGGGTGGGCGCAGAGTGGATTTTTTGCAAGGCAATGTGGTTCCTTAGATGATTGAGGAATTTGCTCTCATTTGCATGACTATTTGCCGTTAAGGCAGGCAACAGTAACAGAGTTGTTGGATACTTTGTTTCGGAGGCTGCATCAAGCACATGTGCGGGTGTATCGCACACTTGAAGACACGTCCAGGTGCGCAAGATGTTCAAGTGTGCGCTAAATGAGAGCACCTACTGGGGAGCCCACAGGATCGGTCGCCTTATAACAGCGGCCCTGTGCCGAGCTCGTCAAGGTCGCCCTATTTGAGTCCTGTCTCATAAATTCTGGCTTGAAAAGCGATGCTTACCGCAGCAAAGAGGTAATTGTAACTTGGACATTGAACTTGCCTCAGCGTTTGCTTTACCTCTGATGACAGTGATAGGACAAATGAGAAGTTTCGTGCACAACTTTTTAACATACTTTTTGGAGGCCCTTGCCGTTTAAAGTAGGATGTAAGGCTGGTACATCACTGCTAGGACACCGGCCTGCCTCTAAATAAAGTTAATCCATTTCGATAGGACACGTCTGTTGGGATATGGTGAGCTATTTCGAAATTGACGTTGAGCGATGGACGCGTTTGTTCTTTTAGGATTGGGGGTGAATTCATACTGCTGTTGCCTACTTGGCCATTTGGACTCTCCAGGGGGTATCGAAAGCGAATGACCCAAGTCACTACTCGCTTTGATCTTTGGAATCTGGTACTGTCCACGTGTATCGTATGGGGCAATGGCTCGCCATATTTAAAGTTATTTCTTCTAGACTTGTGCAGGAAGGAGAAAGATACCCTCGCCACCGTGGTAGACAGACAATTGGGACGGGGAAGGATGGATTTTAGTCCCACATGCATTTCCTTTCTGGTCACTTCTGGAAATACCTGGAAAAGCAGCTCTCGTGGGCGGCTCTGCTAGAGGGGTTATTGTACCTCGGTATACACGTGTCATTGCCCGTGATATGTGACACAAGTCAAGTGAAGTTGGCCTGCAGTTTATGTAGCACCAAGCTGGCCTTGCCTTGCACCAAGTCTGGACTAACTCGGCCTTGCACCAAGTCTGGACTAGTTCGGTCTTGCGTCTAAGTCTGGAGTCCAGACTCTGGACCAACTCGGCCACATATGTAAAGCGAACAGACGGAACTGTACCCCTTACCGTACCCCTTACAGTACTCTGGATAACGTGCTGTAAGTCTCTGCCTCGTGTCATATGTGCACACGGGTAGGGAAATTTTTTTTTTTTGTGATTACGTCTACATTTGGCGATTTGGTTGGGCGAATTTGTACATTTTTGGGTGCATTCATTGGTGAGTTTCAGATGTTTCCAGAAAGTCTGCGATTTTTCTCGAAAACTTGCATCGCATTGTCCTAGTGCTGCCCTTGGGTAGGAGCTAGCACCTCATCGCTTGGTGGCTGCAGCGTATCCCGCAATCAAGGACGTGTCGTCAGCACCAATTTCTCAACAGACGCATGTGCCCCCCCTCTCGCTCCCGTTTCAAACCGCTGCACTGCAACCCCGTCGCCAACAGGCACAACTCTATCACATCGCTTTCAAATCACACACACCTCCCTCCTCTGCCCCTCTCCCAATTCCTGCACATCCGACAACACTCCACCAACTATGACATTGTGCAGGTTCTATCAATCCGGCCGTTGCAAGTATGGCAATAACTGCAAGTTCGAGCACGTCGATCCCCCAGGCGGCTCTCGCGGCGGCAGCGCCAATCACACCACTGGAGGACATTTTGGAAACCCCGCCGGCCCCCGTCACTACGACACCGACGCCGACCCGTTTAGCTCCTCGAAGCCCGATCATCGCTCCGCCGGCCACCGACTATCCGACGACACCCCCGAATGGCCCCTCACGGCCCTTGCCAACACAGACAACCCCGAGACAGGCAACCTCGTCGTCGGCGACGTCTCGCCCGAGGAGCTGCGCCTGCAAGCCTACCAAATGGCCCCGCGCGGCATGTCACCGGACGTCAACCGCAGCGAAAACCAACTGGTTTCCGAGCACCAGGCCAAAATAACCGCCGCGAAAGAAGGCGCCATGCACGCCGCCGGCATGGGCTCCGCGTCTGCGCCCATTGGCGATCCGTTTGCGGCCGGCGCCCCACACCAGAATCAGCCCTCGGCCTTCGGCGCCCCGCCCGCCCCGCCCCACGCCTTTGGAATGGGCGCAACGAATGGCCACGCCGCCCAGGACCAGGCGCTTCCCTTTGGTCAACCATCACAACCCGCCCCATTCGGTGCTCCGCCGCAGGTCGGAAACCCCTTTGGACAGGGAGCCGGCTTTGCCCCACCACCACAAGTGCAAGCCCCGATAACCAACTCTGCACCAGTTGCGAATCCGGCCCAAATGTCACAGTTTTCGGCCCAACAATTCGGCTTTGGCAAAATCCCGGAGGCGGCACCGCCACCGAAATACTGCTGAGCTTACCATCCATCTATGTTAACTGAGAGTCACACGCAACATACTATTCACTCAGCAACCAAGCTTTACGTGTCGCCTGCGTTTGTGAGAATCGGGTTGTTAAGTTAAACTCATAAGGGACATCAAACTCGAGAACTGCATGTTAGTCATGCCCAGGGTCAGTGTGGGTGTGCTGCACGTTTCAGCATACGTTCGCACTTGTCCTGTCAGAACACGTATCTGTCGAGCACACTACGGAAAGGTTGCTTAGGTTTTTCGGATTACCCGTCGAAGCTGTCGACCTTGGGCAGGACGGGTGTCTGATGCCCCTGTTGTATCAGAGGAAGGGTTGGTGCTATCGGTCGATGATAAGCCACGCGTATCTGGGGCCACGTGAATAGTGTATAGGTTGCCGAGAACCCTAGTCAAGATTGGGCGATGTACGCTGATTTCGTGCAAGGTCAGGTTATTCACCTTGATGGCGTTCACTCGGTCACGAACGTTCTCCTGCATCCATTTGCGCATTTTGCTATCTCGAATGTTGGATAGATCTTCGACGCAACGCCGCAACATACCGGGGTTGACGAGGTCGTCAGATGCGTGATGTAACAGCAGTGAGGCAATCTGTAAAGAGGTCGACGAATCGAAGCGCAAGTTTGTGGTGGTACATATGTTAGGGTTTGGTGAGCTTGCTGACCGTTGGACAAATGGGAATTGTAGATGAAAAGACAGAATAAAGCATATCTAACTTACCTCTGAGAAATAGAACGGAATTGCTTGTAGTTCGGCTTCGTTTTCACGTTCATGCGAGATGTACCTGTCTAGTTCTCGCACTGTGAGCCATCGCGGCGGCAGAATTTTGCACCTGTGCACTTTCCTCAATGCAAGCGCTAGCCACAAAGGCACCTGTCAGCAGAACAAATGTCCAGATAAAGGGTTAGTTCTTTGCCCCTTTTGCATCGGAATAACCGAAATCCCAGTAGCAGTAGATAGGTTTAGGGTGAAACACACCGTGGTCGTGATTGATGGCTCAAACGGCCCAAACTCGCCGCGCATTAACGTGATAACATCAGATTTGACCATCGGATTTATCTCTATCAACTCATCTTCGGCGAGGAATTCTGCTCGCTGAAACGCGAGCTCTGCTTCAGTAGCCTCCGTCGCCGCGGACGAATCCATGTTGCGATGCCGCTACGGAACGCGGATATGATTTTCGAAGTGTAGACTTGGACAGGACGGGTGCGCAGTTGCTGGTGACGAATGTCAGTGTTTGGTTCGAGATTCTGCCTTCCTTCTCCTTTTTCTTACGCGAACGCGGCCGAAGACTGTGTTCGTTGAGAGGCGCACGGCGGTTGAGGTTGGGCGTGGAGCAAAGGAGCGTTCAGAAGGCAGGCTCAGGAAAAGAAGATATGACCTGTTTTGATGCAATTCGTTCAAGAAGTAGTTTTTCGCGCCAAAATATTTCTGTTTGCTCGTACAGTAGATTTAGACCCCTTGCTCTGGATGTCCAGTTTCTCTTGCGTGGAGTCCATGGACAAAGATGGAGTTGTGGACACTCACGACTCCATCGACAAGTGTTTTTATTCCGAGGAAGTGCACTCCAACGCTGTAAGATAATATGCTGCTGAATTCGCGAGACTCGTGTATAAAATGGTACGGACGAGCAGAGGCTCGAACAACTAATCGAGAGGAGTTCAATTCAAGAACCCTCCCACTATGAATCGCTTTTCGAAGTTGGTCCATCACAACCGGGTGGTGATGGTGGTTATTTACAGAGGCCGATAGTCAGACGCGGATTGCAGCACACTAGAGCCACAAATGGACTGGGGTACAATTGAACACTTTGGCCGATGCTGTTTTACGGTGCAAGGAACTGCCGTGCATTCTACCCGGGTATATTTGAGCTTCCGTAAGATTAGAGATCGTTGCCGGTTCTCTTATGTGCCCCAGATTATTTAATTTTTATAAAGCAACACATTCCGTGTTCATGTCTGGTGCAAGGAATTTTTTAATTAGGGACAATAAAGGCCATGCAAGTACATCGTCATAGCTTGAAAAGAGCATAGGAACGACCTTGTGCCGTGTCCAGTTGCCGGTTTAGAACATTTATGCATTTGATGTTGCGGACCAGACGACAGCGATTCTCTCACGACAGATTTGAAATCGCCTCAAAGATGGGCTCGTAAAAAGCTTGAGCTGGACATGTTGCTTACGAAAGTTCTCACAGATTTGAGACAGGCGATTATTGGAAACCATTATCCAGCGATGACAGTCGAAAATTAAAACGCAATAAAGTTTTGCTAACTGCTCATGTGCCTCCAATCATATCAGCGACCAAAACCCCCTACCGCCCCGTTCAAGCGCTCCGTCCCTGCTGACCAATTCCTACCGCGCCCTTGTTTCCCAGACCACGACACCGCCAAGTCGCTGAACGCGGGCTTCGCAGCAAGCCCTGTTCCGTTTTCCCGCGTGGTCGTGAGACCGAACACGGACCATGGTGTACACGGCGCCGACGGGCGGCTCGTTCGCGCTGGGCGCCGTCGTCGTCGTCGTCGGGATCTTGGTCCCGCTGACGTTTATGGTAGGTGGATCGCGGCGTTTGCGTGGCATGAATTTGAGAGGGAAGTGGGCCAGTGACTGACTATGTTTTGCGGGCGCGTGGGCAGATTGTGAAGAATAAAAAAGTGTTTGCGCGGCAGGAATAACGGCGGCGTGGACCTGGTTTGTGCGCGCGGGGGGGTGGGGGTGGGTGGGCGACTATTTATTTGCATGTGTTCGAAGTGGGGATGCTTGTGTGCGAAGTACATACAAAGGAAAGCGGGAAAGGCGGGCATGGGATAATTGCGTTTGGCGTGCACCTTAGTCAAGGGGTGGGTGGGTGTGGTTTGGTTGACAGCGGGGGTGAACATGGTCAGTCGGCTGTCGCAACGCTACGGCAATTTGCGCGATTCTACTACAGGACGCGGAAGAGAGGGCGATCTAGGGCGATGTGACGAGCACGACGGCCGGCCCGAGGGTTTTGGAACGCCGTTTTACATTCGATCAAGGGTGGGCTACTCTTCGATGGCTAATGTGGCGGCGTTCTCCGTCGGCTTTGAAAAGGACTGTTGGGCTACCCTTGATAGCTGGTAAATATTAGTCAAAGCAACGAAGACGTTTGCGGCGGCGAGGTTGTAGTTGAGCGGGATGATGACAAAGCTCCATCTTGCTGTAAAAGAAATCGAGAGGTGGAAAGAATGTCGTGGCGTGCTTGTTAGTTGACCGGGAAGACCGAAGAAACCGTGGCTTTTGGTTGCAAATGGGCAAAAAGCGGTGTCATGACGTACTCCAGACCATGCCCGTTAGTGCCAGAGCTAATCGTTTGTACAAGCGGTGAAGTCAGTGACAGAAATTTCATACACAAGAGTCAGAAATGTAAAGGTCATGGAACACTCGCACAGAATGCAATCACACCAGAAGGCGACATACCACTACATTGCGGGATAGAAACATCTTCAACTGGCCTGCTCATATCCGATAAACTGGCCAACACAAGCCCCCATTTCATGGTCGGGGCCCAAAAAAAGACTGTGGAGGACGCAAATGCACGGGCGCAACAAAAAGACGACAAGAGCGTGAGCCATGAGCCTTCCCCAAAACCCCGAGTCTCCCTCACATTACAATTCGGCCCGGTGCGGTTACGGAAACTTACCGGTCTTGAGCCCCGCGGGGTGCTGCCACAAGGCGCGTAGACGCGCCGCCATCCCTCCGCGAATTCGGTGACAGTGGAAGTAGAAGGCGATTTGGGACCGATCGCGTCGGTGTAGAGAGCGGGTTGCGCCGTAGACGTCGGCAAAATCGCCCTGCAAACAAAGGACCGAGGCGCATATAGTTCTCGGACGGAATAATGGCAGGTTGATGGTGATGGCGAAGTATGATTGGATTATAATTCTATACATGAAAAATATTATCCAATAGAAAGGCTGATTCGGAGCCCTATGTTTGCAGAGGCCAATCGGAAGTGTCCACGCCTTACACATTGCACACGTGGATATGTATATTTCTAGGTCCATTGGCTCACCGCTCTTCGACGCGAGCTCCCCAACATTATCCCCGCCATGCTTCTCTAAACGAGCACCCTTCCAATTTCCCGTCCAACTGCACCAATGTCCCCGCCACCGTGCTTCCTGCCACCAGCGGGGCGATTCGCTCTACCACGTCCCGCCCCATCCCGCCCGTATACGGGTGTCCGCCGCCCAGCGGTGGCGGCGCGGCGCCGTCGCGCGGCGCCCCTGCTGTGCGCCGAGGCACCGCGGCCCGGGGACGACGGCCACGCCTCCGAGAACGGACTCCCGGCGCCGGACCCGGGGGCACCGCTGCCCCCCGAAGACAGGCTGTTCGACGACGCTGTCTCGACGGGCGCGTCGTCGCTGGAGGAGATCGCCGACAGCGTGCGCACCGACCTGCAAGGTGTGTCGAAGGCGACGCGAGCTTTTGCCGACTCGGCCATCGCCGAGGAGACGGAGGCGCTGCTCGCCAAGTATGAAGACCGGCGTAAGGAGCTGCTGGACACCATCTTCGAGGAGAGGCACGTCATTGAAGCGGAGCTCGGACGCGTTTCGGAGCTCGCGGATAAGTATGAGAAGAGCAAGAGGCGGAGCAATACGTCGGTCAGGGGCAAGTTGATGACGGCTGTCGCGGGCGTTTTCAGCATTGCTGCCATTCTGTATGCCTTCTCAGGTGTCGTTGACAACGATTCCGGGGCGCTGGGGAGTGCGGCTGTTGATGCGGCGTGCGCTGCGGCAGCGGCCTATTTCGTAAAGAGGGATAACGATGCCAGCAAGGAAACCGAGGCGTAGTGTGGGCAGGTGTTGGAAGGGAGGTCTGGGTCGTATATTAACCATATGCTAGCTTCGAAAAAATCGACAGGGAGCTCAACGTAGGTTAGTTACAGGTACAAATTTTAATATGTGAACCCGTGTCGATGGTTGGATGAAGAACTTCTGTGAACAAGATATCACCTACTCGACCATTCTTTCCTAGCGTCCCCGCAATCGGACGTTTGTGTATTAGCTTTCTGCCAAGAAGTACTTCTGCTGTGACCTAGACTAAGGGCGTGTCCAATGCATAGTGCATATTTATTCGTCGATACGATACATGGCATCGCTATGCGAGCAGATTTTGGTTAAAATTAGCCTTGAGCGCACTGCACTCGGGGTTGATCATCTTCATCTTCGTCGTAAGCAGAGCCGTTCGCGTGAACAGGACGCACGTGCTCGTTAGAGAAATCTATCATGCGCACCTCATCCACCTCGGCGTTTCCAACCGGCGATAGCGGTGTGCGAGAACCCAAAACTTTTTCGAGAACGGCCGCTTGCTCGGGGCCAACAAAGCTCGGGAACTTAACTGAAAATTTGATAAACAAGAAGCCGCGCTCCGTCGGATTCCTCCACGTCGGCATACCCTCTTGAGGGATGCTCTTGACGAGCCCCGGCGTGAGTACCGAGCCAGCCGGAGACTTGACATGTAAGAGCCGGCCATCCAGCTGCTTGATGTGAAACTCAAATCCACAGAGCGCATCGGTAAGCGTAACCTCCTTATCCATGATCAAATTATTGTCCTTGCGGGTGAAAACTGGATGATCCTCCTGTTTGAGCACGACGACAACATCTCCCGCCGTGAGTCCGGGATTAGCGTTAGCCTCGCCATTGAAGGTAATCTTCTGGCCGTTCTGCATGCCCTTATCCACATAGACCTCCAAGACCTTCCTCTCCTTCGAGACCTTATCGCCGGCGCACGAACCGCAGCGATACCTCTCAATGATAATCTCGCCGAGACCCCTACATCTAGAGCAATGATTCTGGACCTGCTGGACCATCCCAGGTCCGATCTGATTCAGCGTGACCTGGATACCGCGGCCATGGCACGTACTACACGTTGACACGCCTTCGGGCCGACTGGCGCCGATGCCGTTGCAAGTCTGGCAGACCCGGTTACGGATGATAGCCAGCTTGCTCATCTTTCCCTTGTAGAGGTCTTCCAAGGTGACACGTAGGGAATGGACGACGTTGTCGCCCTTCCTAGGGCCGCGGTGAGAGTGGGCGCCACCGCCAAACATGGCGGAGAACAAGTCATGTGCGTCCGACGGCCCACCGCCGTCGCGAAGACCCTCCTCGCCGTATTCGTCGTATACTTGCCTCTTCTCCTCATCGCCGAGCACGGCGAAGGCGGTTTGGATCTCCTTAAACATCTCCTCGTCGCCGCCCTTGTCCGGGTGATGCGTCATGGCGAGCTTGCGGTAAGCCTTCTTGATGACATTCGGTTGGGCATCTTTCGCAACGCCCTGAGAGGTGAAAAGCGAGCAATGGAGGAAAGGACGAAGGTTAGCATGATGTAAGGAGAGGCATGAGAGAGAGAATAAAGTGGGGGACGGCAAGTTGGCGTACCAAAACCTCGTAATACTTGTTGTTGTCGACCTTGCGACGACGACCGCCACCCATGCCCATGCCCTCCATACCGGGAAAGCCACCGAACATGATGCGAAAAGGTTAGGAAGGGGGAAACGGGAATGGGGGAGGGAATGCACTAGGTGCGGAGGGCGTACGAAGGGAAGAAGGAAGTGAAGGGCGGTGGCGCTTGCAAAGGGAAGGGGGGCTAGATCAAATGTGTAGTCAGGGAGGGCACAGGGGGGGAAGGGGGGCGGCTGGCAGGCTGTGTTTCCGTTTCGCGGCGTCGCGGGCGGCAGCCGTCGGAACACTATAGACTAGCTCCGAAGCTTCGAGAACCGTCTGTCCCACCTGTCGACGGTCGATTGGCATAGCCTAGTCCAACGGCCGTCTGCTTAGCCACCCACGTGCACACGTGCACACGTCCCCAGGCGTCCACGCTGTCACTGCACACCGGCCCCGTACTGCCGCACGGTCCCGTCCGCGCCACCTACAACAATGCACCCTGCGTCGTCACCCCACGCACACCCCTGCCGCCCTGCGCCCCCCACCTGCCACTTGTGCATCGGCACTTTGACCACCGTCTTCGTCTTCTTCTTCCCCATGAACACCGCCACGCCGCCCGCCCCCACTGCACCCCCAAATTCACCCACCCCGTCCAGCGCTAACCCCACCACGCCCTCCATCCCTACCTCACCCGATACCGTCTGCTTCCTCAGGTCCCACAGCGACACCCGCCCGTCCCGGCAGCTCGCCATGTAGTACCCCTTCTCGCTCATCTCCAACGACACCACCCTCCCCCCCCGTTCCCCGAGCTCCGCGACGCACTTCATAGTCCGCAAGTCCCACATCTCCACCACCCCGTCGGTCCGCCCAGTTGCAAACACCATCCCGTCCGGATGCACAACCCCGCTCCCGTACCCCTCCCCTCCCTGTCCCTCACAGACAACCCGCCCGCCGAGCTCCCGCCACACCCATTTCCCCTCTGCCAGAACCACAAAAACCACCTCTTTCGTTGGGTGCACGTCCACATCCACAACCTCCCCAGTCTCCTCCCACCCTCCCAACTGCTCCCACGTCTGCCCATCCCATATTTTCACCGACCCAGCACCGCAGCTTACCACCCTCTCCCCATCCCATCTCACCCTCTTCACACCCCCGTCTGTATGTCCCACCACGGCTTTTCCCACCACTCCCATTCCTCGTGTATCCAAAGTCATTAGCTTCCCGCTGCTCGTCCCGCCGTACATCAACCCGTCCGCCCCCCGCGCCAAGCTTGTCACCGTCGCTTCCGATCCATCTACTGCCACTTGCCCAGTCTCCGATAGCGATTTCAGTGTATCTGCCCGAGCGTGTGACGCCGGTACCTTCCGCTCCTTCCGCTTTTTTTGGAGCTCGGCGGACCGCGCCTTCACCTTTTTCAGCAGTTCCTCTGGAAATTCCGTCCTTGTCGATGATGACACGTCCGCAGTCGCGTCTCTGCCCGTCACCACTTTGTCCTTGACCATCACCCTGTCGCTCGTCTTGCTGTCTTGAGTCGCGTCCTTCTTCACCTCGCCTGCTGCCGCCGCCTCGACCCTAGCCCCGTTCGTTTCATCAGTTTGTACCTCGTCGGAAGCTCGCGCCGTAGCACTTTCTTTCATGTCCTGATTCATCTTTGCGATTACGCGTTCCGCCGTTTCATATTTATACAACGCGTTGGCTAGCTCCTTTCTTGTTTCATTAAGCTCCGTCTTGACCTGATGCAACTCCAGCATCGTCGTATCCCACTCCTTCTGTAGATGTCTCAGTACTCCGGGCACCGACACCTCCGCCGGCACTAAAGGTTCGACTACTGTCCCAGACTTTTTTATCTCGATCAGATCCGACGTGGAGAGAGGCTCTCCTGTTTCAGGGCATCGCCCGTCGGAAGCTTCCAACGCTTGCTCGATGAGACGCCTCTCGAAGATGTGCCCGCTCTTGGCGGACACCACAGGCACGTCAGGGACGATGCCTGAGATGCTGCAAAACATCCCCGAAGAGCTTTGGGGGGCGGCCATGTCACGTGTGAGGTTTGAGGGGCGAGCGAGAGAGCAGGGTAGGATTTGTGGTTGATGGCACTGAGATTCCAAGACGATGGGGATGATGCTGTTGCGAAAGTGACACCCTTTCCGCCGAGCAGTTTTCGTTTGCCTGGTTGCCTTCCGTCGATTTGCTTGCTTTCCTGTCCACGACCGCCGGCAACGCGAGATACAAACAAATGGACGCGAAGTTGCTCAACGAAAATCAGACCGCGAATTTAGAAGCCGGTTTTGGCGGTTGCGGCGGGGGTCGTGCTCAAATTTTCATGTGGTCTTATTTGACGAGGGGGACGTGATCCCACTTTTGAAGAGATTCAATTTTTTAATCAGAAAACTCATTCCGACCCCAGAGAAAGCTGAAAATATTTTATCCTCTGCTCAACTCACCTTCTCTAGTTCTATCAGACCATTGTTCTCATATGAGGACAGTTTTCGACATAATTTTTTCTTGCCTCACACTTTCTCGACAAGAAAGAAAAAGATACCCCCGCTACCGTACTTGACTTCTGCCTTGGGACCAGAACGAAATTTTTGAGAATTGCATGTTCTTTCTGGTTGTTTCTAGATGTGTCTGGAAAACTGCACGTAGAATAACTTTGAAACCAAAAACGCCAGTTTAAAAAGGGAATTAGGTACTCAATCTGCATTATATTCTTCATCTTTCGTATTCAAATCTTTTATCCCGGCGTTCTGGGACATGCTATTGCAGAAAAAAAGCACGTTACGGAAATAGTGTCCAAGGTAGCGTTTTAAATGTTCAACTTAATTTATATTTTTTGCAAAAAAACTATTCTCATAGGAGGACAAGCCCAGGTCGGATAGTGTAGACACTAGAGTGCCTAGACGACAAATGACCTCATATGAGGCTACTTTTCAACTTATTTTTCTCGACTTGTGCTTGCTCACTAAGAAGGCAAAAGATGCTCTTGCCACCGCAGTTAACTTCTGCGTTGCGGAAGGGTGGAGTTTGGTGAGATCTGCACGTCTTTTCCAGCCATTTTTAGGATGCCTAAAAAAGAAACCTTTTTGAACAACCTCAAAACGATATGTGTTGATATCTTCGAAGCCAAAACGCCTCCATAAAATGTCAACCGACTACTGAAACAACATTGTATTCTTAGTCTTTCTGTGTATTCATAACTGCTATTCTAAGGTTTTGCAAGATGGTATTGCCGAGGGCATATACGCTAAACAAATGGCGTCCAAACTGACTTTATAACGTTTCTATTTAATTTTTTGCAAGACAATTCTCACAATGTTCTTTCTTTCCCCAAGTCAGAAGTCAAATACGGTGGTGGGGGTATCTTTTTCTTTCTTGTCGAGGAAGCGCAAGTCAAGAGTAAAATAGGTCAAATAGTGTCCTTATATGAGAACAACGGTCCAAATAGACACTAGAGACACTAGTCTCTCCTCTGCCTCTTTCTCTCACACTACCCACGGCTGCGTGTCGCGGGCGGGGCCAGGCGCGGCTGGCATATCGTCTGAACATGAACGATGAGGTCCTACCAAAAGAGGTCTAGTACTTGATGAGCATTTCATCGCATTCCATGTAAAGCCTTTGTAACGCGAATGGTTCTCACCAAAAGAGTGAGCATCCGTTTCATTTTGTACATGAAAACGCATAATTAACACGAGATATTTTGAGCATAATTGTTGCTTCAGACATCACTGTTTTTATTGATTCTTCTTCCCTCGATCTTTACGAATGTCACACCATGGAGATCTGCTATTGAAGGTATATCTATGAATATCCATCCAGAATCTGGGGCCCCAAACGTACACAAGTACCTCGACAAGGGTAAGGGACGTCAAACGATATACTGTACCTGTTCACCATAAAATATTGCCGCTGTGCATCTCCGCTGTGCCACCCTACCATATGCTACGTTTTCCATGGAAGAAGGTGCTTTCTCGCACCTCGCTTTCGATATCAGCAGACTTCCGGGTACCAAGACGGCCCCTTCATCTGTGAGGTTAAACCCGACCAATCTGCGTATTACTACCCACGTGTACTGTCCCAGACTTACCTTCGGAAATCCTTGTTGTCTTCCCTTGGTTGGTGGAACGCCACTTTACAAATTCTCTACAGCCAATAGAAGGCCTTAAAAAGACTGCTCAGGCCTAAAATTCCGGTGATCGCATCTGATCGGAAATCTCATGCTCATCTGAAGATGCTTTTTTTTTGGGCTGTGGGACAGGATTGTAAAAAACCGCCCTGCTGCATACCATCGAAGGCCCGAACGTGTGAAACCGCTTGTACTGAGACTGAGATCTGAATTTTCCTGCATACCACCGAAGGCCCGAACGTGTGAAACTGCCTGTAATGAGACTGAGATCTGAATTTTCCCTAATAAATTCCTGAACGCAAGAAAAACTTGATAATAAATGTCATCCAGACACTGGCTTGATACCAGAATGAAAATTACTGTATAATAGAAAAGATTAGTTTTGATTTAAGAACACATCAGATGCTTCCGCTTCTAATAAGATGTATGCGGCTAAATGCATTGAAGAATTAAGCTTTATCTAATATTTTGCTTGAAGAATGTAACCCCGAATAGGATATTTGCGGCACTTCAGAAAAGTACCAGGAACACTGTACGCAGTGCCCATATCAACCCTCCCAACATGAACAGATCGGCAGCGAATCGAACCCACTTAATTTAGCCGTTTCAATATCGTTGGGCTTGTAATATGTAAAACAGTAATCTCCCCCACACGATACACAGCATTCTTCAACTATTTCAATTCCCCTTCTTGCCTTTGAGCAGGGAGTCACGGAAATGCCTTCGGGCTGCCTTGTACATACATAGAGTGCGTGAGAAAAATGCGGTAAGCTTTTTTTTTTCCATGCAGCTCTGGGGAAATGTAAATTTCGCCTATGTCCAAGTATAGGGAAACATGCTGGAGGTTGCTGTAGAGAGGCTGAAGTGCAGCTGTATATTACTTTCTAGTTCAGAACATGGGGTTTAAAACACTCTTGAAGGCAGCACTCCAAAAATTATTGCTCGCAATATTTTGCAGAATATACAGTATAGCTGAAAGAAGTGTCATACTTTCATAGAGAATTGGAATCAACGAATTTGGTGCGGATAGTTCAAGATGACAAAGCCTGCGCACGCAGCTTTCCAGGTTTTCCTCTCTGTTTTTTCGTTATTTTTACGGATCTACAACTATCTAGACGCGCCCATCCCTCTCGCATCCCTCTCGCTTTACCGCAGTGGCATTGGATGGCGCTTTCCTCTTTGCTTCGGCATCGAACTACAGGGTGCCACCCACGCTTCCTTTATCACCACCGTGCAAGATTGTCCGCAACGACATTTCTGCTTGCTTTCACAAAGAAAACAATCAATCATGAGCAGCAAGGATCAGACGGACTCTTTGCTTCGCATTGTTTCGAACAAATGTCGAAACCTACGAAAGGCGATCGACCGCGCTCGAACACAAGAGGCTGCTGAGAAGAGAGGAGACCAGCTTAATGACGAACAACGCGAATCTGTACGTGGCCTGGGTCGTAAGGAGGCTCTTCTTGTCGAGCTCCAAGAGATCCTGAAGAAGCAAACCGCCGTTCTGGAGCCGCAACAACCTGAGACCAAACAAAGCCGTCGTGCGAAGAAAGCTGCAAGGGCCAAAGCTCGTGAGGGAAAGGGTTCTTCAAAGAGCATATCCGAGAAAAGCAGTGAGGAAGGAGAAAGAAGCGAAAAAGTCCCCGAGGCCGAATCAGGGGCAAGGCCAGACGGTAGCGAGACCGCTCATCCGAATGGCAATGGAAATCCAGCAGGAAAAGGCGAACCTTCTGCGGATGAAGCACGCAAAGCGGAGCGCGGCGCGGAACAGTTAGCCGAGCTCGAAATATTACGGAAGCAGTCGGAGGAAATGTCGAAGGAAAGAGACGCCCTCTTAAAGGAGATGGCTGAGCTTAAGCTCAGCCATGAACACCAATTGGCGCAAGACAAGAAGAAGGCTATAGCAAGCACTTTAAATCTATTTCATGTTGCGGATTTTCTGCGTCAGCCAGGCTCTCGGGAAGCCCTCCTCAGCTACTACGCAACACCGGAGGGCAAGACGTCGCCTCTAGTGTTGAATGGTTTGCATCTTGACCCCGTGTGCTACTTCAACGTCATGCTCACGTCCCCAAACGGCAATGTACCACACCCCGAAGCAGTTGACGTTTCCACTGCTCACTGTTTGGAATACTTGCAAGGATCCACGACAGATGCGTTCATTGGCACATCGTATGCGGCATTGGTGGAAATTGTTGACACGATAGCCTCTTGTCCAATTCTTACTGACCGCGGAGTACCACCAGAAGAAGTAAAGCAACGTAATCGAGGAGGGCGCAACAGGAACAGGTCCAAGAGCGGACCTCAATCCTCTCCAGAGAGTGGGGCTATCCAGCCGAGTCCGATTGTTGACAATCCCGTTGCCGATCGCAATGTGCCCTAGCCGTCAAAGATTGTCTTTCGAGTACGGATTAGGTGATGACGACTTGATTGGACACGTTTGTTGGGGTTATAGGATGTCCCTGCGTCGGGCTCACAAGGACATGTCGTAGGACGCATTTAGTTATTAACCTTTCTCAGTCTATTTTTCAGTCGGCGACGGCATGTACATCCAGTCGTTTTCGTCGCCCTACGAGAATCTAACATTTTCGTCAGTCGTCATAAATCCGACCTGACCCTGGCCTCGATATCCCGCCCCTACACAAGCACCTCTCTTGACAGAAATACAAATAACTACTCAAAGTGATGTAGCATGTAGTCGCCGTGTGCACAGAGGAAACTGGAGCAGAGATACCACCGTCGAAGAGCGAAGATGCTTCTGCATGGTGTACACGTATCTGCGACCGCGTGGACTGGTAGCCGAAGCTCTACTTCGCAAAACGCACGCTGAAAAGCAGACAGGCGGATCAATGATACGTTTGGTGCGATAGAGGGAGATCTTTACAACGTCTATTCTTTGGTGGCGTCGGCTCCGGTTGCGTTCTCTGCGGGCGCAGGGGTAGAATCGGCAGCTGCGTCGCCCTCCTCCTTCGCGGCCTCATCTGTTTCCTCGGCCTTCTGCTCAAAGTTGGCGTTATCGACCAAATCCGGAATATCTTCGTCGTCACCCCCTTCGGTGGCTTGCGCGGCAGCCTGGGCGGCGGCGGCGGCAGGACCCATACCGGCGCCCAGCTGATCCATCAGGGACTTCATCTGGGGCATGTTGTCGGCGCCAAGCTGGTTGACGATGCTCGGGAGCATCTCCTGGAGCGGCTTGGTGACAGCAGCACCGGAAATGACGTAGGTGTTCGCGGAAATCTGGGCCTGAACCTTGGGGTTTTGGAAGTTGATGACAGAGCCGTTGTCCTTAAAAATGTTGACCTCCTCGATTCCGGGGAGCTGGCTGAGTTGAAGACGCTTGAGGGTGGATTGCAGGCGCTTGTCGTCGGTCGGCGCGGCCTTGTGCACGGCCTTCTTCTTTCTCCGGACCGAGCCCTTTCCACCGACGCGGACGCCCGCAGCCATCCGCTGCAGCTTGGCGAGCCTCTCTTTGTCAACGGCACCCTCCATGGTTGTGGGTCTGCTGGGCCACTCGGCGGGAAGGGGTGTGGGTAGGGTCGGGAAGGGAGCGACGAGGGATGACGTCGGCGAAAGGAATGGATGGATTGACGGCCAGGGGTGAAGGTTTCAGGGTGATCCGGGCGCAAGTCGAAGGGGAGGGCGCTGGGATGGCAGAACGCACGCAAAGATCCAGATTGGAAGCGGCGACGGGACGCAAGGGGAAAAAAAAACCAAAAAATAGGGCACGGACAAGGCGGATCCAGAGGGTCACCGGCGGGCGAATGGGTCTCTGGGAAGCTTCGCTCCCCTCTTTCAGGGCAGCAACCTCAATTACAATTGTAAACGGGCCGGGGCAATTTTCAAAGGGGAAGCAATTGCTGGATGCTTTATCTTGAGAAACACGTGGACAGGTGTTCGAGGAAGCAGTGGTACGCTGACAGTGTAATAAGGTTGCGCTGTAAAGAGTGTCGAGTCGACACTACACGTACTGTTGATTGTTCGGAAGGTTATGTAAAAAGTCTCGAAATTTATGGGCTGTCGAAATCAGGCCCACACTGTAACTGGTTATAGGCTGCTGAGGCGTCGCAATGTAAACATCGAGAAGAATATTCTACGGTGAAACGTGTTAAAGCATGGGGAACCACAAACACGATGTCAAGACTGCTATCATGGAAAAAAACGTCATTTTGAAACGGCGTTAGCAAAAGATGCTGGTTAAGAAGAGCACACATGCCACGCAAAGTGCGAGTTGTACCATTTGCAGAGTGGGGTGTAGAATAGAAACCTACAATAGTTGCGGGAATGCAAGGAGCAAGGTGAAAAGGGCGGAGGTGATTTGTCAGGGGGAGAAGAAGGAAGAAACATATAAAAAATAGATGTACATATGTAGATATGTACATATGTGGTGCAAATAATATATTAACGGCAAGCGTGGGCATGCAGATTTTTTTTCCATAGCAAGGACGTGGCAGACACATGCGGCAACGTGGTATCGGGGGCAAATTTGGACGGATTTACAAGGACAGAAAAAGCGAAGTGCAGAGAGGTAGTGAGGAAAGTAAATTGTGTCGAAACTAGAAACAAAGGGGTGGCGGGGCAGTCGCCGTGTCGGTGACGCAAGCAGGGCGTTCAGAAACGGTACAGAATGGCGTAACGGACAGTGTACACAATAGAGCAGAGGGCGGGGAGAAAAGTGATGACAGCAGGAGGGGGGGGGGGGGGGGAATCGTCGGACGACAAGACTCTGTTGTCTGGTGCGGGTGCGGGAATTGACTTTACGATGATGTCATGGAGCGTGCGAGAAAAGCAAGAGGGGGTGAGTGAGGCGAAAAGAAACAGCGTGTTGTTGTGTGCATTGCGAGGCGGCGTAACCGGCGTGTATCAAGCCATGGGCCAAGCTCTCCACTTGGCGTGCGGTTGGTGCGGTGGGGGCGGAAGCAAGTTTAATAGCCGGTGGCGTCAGGGCCGGAGGGGCTGCCACGTGGGCACGTGGGCGACTTAGAATACAAGAAAGTGAGGAGATTGCCCGTGATGGAAAGGTGCGGTCACGAGAGGAGGCGAGGACCGCTCACTGGGGGGAGGTGCGCGATGCCCCCCCGTAAAGGGTCAGCCGTCCTCGCGACCCGTCGTCGAATGTCGCTGTGCTGGACAGCTGCAGTAGCGAGGCTGATATGGCCACAAGGTTGCTCTACCGGTTTATGCTACTGCCCACATTTTCGTGCAACAGTAGTACAGTACGTGCCTCGCGTTTCTCACCCCCTTTTTCTCGCTCCGTGTCACACTGCGCCGATCCCCCCCTTCCCTTGCTTCCCTTGCCATAACAAAATTTATGTCCTGTAGCGTCGCCCTCGCCCCCATTCCCCAGCTTTACACTCCCTTCGGTCTCGTCGCGCAAGGCTCTTATAAACCCCGCCCTCCCCCGTGACTGCTCCTCACCCTCTCTACGCATCCCACCACGTACTCTCTCTCACACTCCCAACCCCCGCCCACATCTTACTCACCATGTCTACCTCCGTTTCCCGCTCCGCCCCCGAGCACGCCCGCCTCACCATTGGCGTCGTCGGCTTTGGAAACTTTGGCCAGTTCATCTCCCGATTTTTTGCAAGGCAGGGTCATAGGTAAGTCTCGCCTTCGCAAAACTTTCGCATCTTCGCTCCGCTTTCAACTTTTTCTCACATCCCTCGCTCCCCCAATGTGATCCCCGCTTTCTTTCATACCCCAGGGTTATCGGCCAAAGCCGCGGCAACTACGACGAGAAGGCCGCCGCCATCGGTTGCGAGTACGTCAACAAACCGGATCTACTCATGGATGCTAAGCCGGACGTCGTCATCTTCTGTACCAGTATCATGTCGCTTCACACCGTCCTGTCCAAGTTCCCCGTCCACCGGTACGTCATTTGCCCATATCTGTCCCCTGCAGACCACATCCGTACCATCTATGCGTTATGCTGACAAGGAGGTATCAAACTGCTGTTTACCCGCTTTGCAACATTAGGCTCTCCGGCGTCCTTGTCGCCGACGTCTTATCGGTCAAGATGTACCCGCACGACCTTCTCATCCGCATGCTTCCTTCTTCGGCTGATATCGTCTGCACCCATCCTATGTTTGGGCCTGAGAGTGGACGCGACTCGTGGAAGGGGCTCCCATTCGTCTACGACGTTGTGCGTGTAGATCCCTTGAGAAAGAAGGTTTGCAACAATTTTATCAGCATGTGGAAGAGAGAGGAATGCAAGATGGTTGCTATGGAAAGCTTCGAGCACGATGAATATGCCGCCTCCACCCAATTTATTACGCATACTACAGGTACGTTAGCCCGGTCCAGCATCAGAGCGAATGGGGTTGGTGCCACCGGTTTTCTAACTATCCGAGATATTTCCTCCGTTTACGATTTATTTGGCTTCTTCTTCACACAGGACGTATGCTGAGCGAACTCAATGTCGTAAGCACTCCAATCAACACTAGGGGGTTTGAGTCTCTCCTGAGCGTTGTGGACACGACTACGAAAGACAGCGATGATCTTTTCTACGGACTGTACAAGTACAACCCTCAGGCTAGGGCCCAGCTCGACAAACTTGAGTCTGCCCTCCGTAACATCCGGACAAGGTTAGAAGCTGCCGAGGCTGCCGAAGCCGCCGCAGCGAAGAAAATGGAGAAGTAATGAAGAAACCTCCCTGTTTTTTTTACGACTTGCTTTGTCGACAAGGTCCTCTCGGGCCAAATTCCCTTTCCCGGCTTTCCATTCCAACGCCGTCTATTGCCTTCGTGTTTCATCCGGATTGGCTGACATGACCGTATTCTTTTTTTCTTTTCGTTCTGTCATTCTTGTAGGAAATATGGTTTGATGAATGTCAACACCAAATACTCGTCCATCTCCGAAGAGGTGCTTCAAAATCTCATCCTACGCGTAACTGCAAAATCTTAATTGTTTTTTGGTATCAACTTCGTTAAGTGCCTCGTCCCATGTGGCTCACGATGAACTTGATACATAGTGCCCGACCTAGGTGTCCACTAAACTTATAAAAGAAAAAGTTCCAAAACACGACAGTTTTGTTCACGAAAACACAACCTAGGCCGCCAACGGCAAGTTCCTTGCCATCGCCGCTCGCGCCGCCGTCACAACGTCGTCTGTCTTCGGAAATGCCTTCTGTTCCAGGTTATCAGCATACGGTGTTGGCACATCTGCTCCACAAACTCTCTGCACGGGTGCATCCAAGTACTCAAACGCATCCGATTCAAACACCGCAGCGCAAATCTCAGATCCAATCCCAAACATTGGCCATCCTCCTTCCACCGTCACCAATCGATTAGTCTTCTTCACACTCTCTGTAATCGTTTCACGATCCAACGGACGAATCGAACGTAAGTTAATTACCTCTGCCGACACGCCCTCCTCCGCCAAAATCTCCGCCGCCTCCAGCGCGAAAGCCACCGGTCTGCTATGCGCCACAATAGTGACGTCGGTCCCCTCGCGCATCACCTTTGCCTTGCCGATCGGCAACAAAAAGTCCGGGCTCAGCGTCTCATCCGACAAGTTGTCAAACACAACATTATACATAAGCTCATTCTCCAGACACACCACAGGGTTATCGTCCCGTATGGCGCTCTTTAAAAGCCCCCTCGCGTCCTCTACGTCGTACGGCGAGATCACCTTCAAACCGGGAACCGATCCGTACCACGCAGCAAAGCATTGCGAATGTTGCGCCCCAACGCCCGCAGACGCCCCATTCGGCCCGCGAAACACTATCGGCACCTGAATTTGTCCACCGGACATGTACAAGGTCTTGGCGGCTGAGTTGACAATATGATCGATGGCCTGCATGGAAAAGTTGAAGGTCATAAACTCTGCAATTGGGCGGAGACCACCCATAGCGGCACCGGTGGCAAGCCCAGCAAAGCCGGCTTCGGTGATCGGGGTGTCGACAACGCGCTGATCGCCGTACTTGGCGTGCAGGCCTTTGGTGACTTTGTACGCGCCGTCGTATTCGGCAACCTCTTCGCCGATCACAAAGACTCGATCATCACGCTCGAGCTCCTCGTCTATGGCGGTGTTGAGGGCTTCTCGAACCGTCATGGAGGCCGGTGCTAGAGCGGGGGCCGAGCCGTGGAAGGCGCGCGAGAGGCGCGGGAGAGACCGCTGAGCAATTCGACGCAGCATTGCGGGAAACGGGTGGGGTGAGGAGACTGTTTCCGGCTAGAAGGTGGAGGCACAGGCACAGGGTTCTTGGGGGTTCGATGGGAGGATCCGCTAGTGCACGAGGTGCAATCGAGGAAGCTTGGGTTGGGCGAGTTCGCAAGCAGAAACGCGAGCGGTCACAGGTACTTTGTCTTGGAGCGGTAATGAGCTGCTCGTTTGCGGATTGAGAACAGGGTGGGTGGGACCAGGGCACAGACTGTTGCTCATCTAAGCAGTTCTGCATCGTCAGCCCACTCGCAACAATCATTGTGATTACAGTAAATTTTCTTTTGTGAGTGTAAGGTTTCAAAGGCCCGTCATAACTGTCCAGACTGCACGTGTACACCAAATCGCACATGCGTCATACGGCACACGATTATGGATCGTAGTCGCAGGGGTGGGTCATCTGGTTGCTACATACAGTACTGTTGCGGCAATTCCTCCGCGAGATACCGAGCGACCTGTGCCAACGAGAATCCACTCGTCTTCGTCTTTATTCTTCACAAGTCTGCTGCCATCCCCTTCCCTATCTGCTCCAGGGACGGCTCTTAAGTAATCTATGTCCGGGGGCTGTCCTCTCTTCCCCCGACCTCTCCTGGCGCCCCCCTTTCCCTTCAGCTTCCCTCTGCCCCAGTCCTGGCGCCCTCCTCCTGCTCCTTTCCTTTCACCCACACGGCCGGTGGCCTCCCCCGTCTTCTTGTCCTGGCCCAAGTCCCCTCGCAGCCACCGGTTTCCCTTCATCCTCCCTCTGTCTACCACCGACAGTTCCCCACGCGCATGATCCCGCCACTTCTACTGCCTTTCGGTTGGTACACCTCGGTTCCGGCCGTGTCCGCTTTGATTCGCCTTACGCGTGTCCACCTTGTCACCTGGCACCTGGGTTCATCCGTAACAGTACAATGTATCATGAAGCTAGTGTCTATCCGACCCTGACTTGTCCTCATGTGAGGATAGCTCTTTTTTTTGGAAAATATATAAATTAAATTGAACATTTAAAGGCTATCTTGGACACTATTTCGGCGACGCACTTGTTTTCGGCAATAACATCTTGCGGAACACGGGATAATGTAGCAGCTTGCATACGCAGAAAGATTAAGAATGTCATGCAGATTGAGTACCTAGTTCCCTTTTTACACTGCCAAAGTTATCATGCATGCGGTTTAAGGTGGTTTAAAAAAGCGTCTGTCCAGACATATCTAAAAACGAGCAGGACGAGCAATGCAATTCTCACAAAGTTCTTTCTGGCCCCAAGGCAGTCGTCAAGTAAAGTGGCGTGGATATCTTTTTCCTTCTTGTCGAGAACGCGCAAGTCACGAAAAAAGCAAGTCGAAAGGTGTCCTCATGTGAGAACAACAGTCCGATGGACACAGGTCATCTAAATTGCGAAAAGCGATGAGAATGCGATGCATCCTTCTACGGTACAGTTCTATACAAATCACAGAAGGTAACGAGATCTCATCTGCCGTCGTTTCCACCATTGTGACCAAGTGCGCATGAGCATGCAAAGTACAAGTGTAGAGGACAGACGAGTGAGAAGGATAACCTCTCCGAAAACAATAGCCATATCTAGGTTTCTAAATGTTTCTTCGATCGCAAGCTAAGACTAAAGATACTGCTCGGTCGTCTGCAGAATGAAATGTTGCAGCCCAGCTCTAGAATACATGCAAGGCTTAGCATAGATACCGCAATATTTATGTCGGTCTGTCAATTAAGGAAATACGCATTGACTTCAAAAAATGGTACATTCAGCATCGAGTGATTGAATTCAGATCTAACCCGGCCATCCGAAGCGGCCGTCAAATGTTGCCCATTTTCAACATCAACTATCTTGGCACGTTAACTCTTGAAAGGAAAAACTGCTCGATAGCCTCCGCAACTCCGTCGTCGACGTTGCTACTGAAATCTGTGTATTTGGCAACCTTCTTTACGGATGGCAGCGCATTCGCAACTGCACAAGAGAAACCTACCATTTCGAGCATCTCGAGGTCCTGTTCAAAGTAGGAAAGAAAAAAAAACGTGTCAGAATTTCTCTGTATCTTTTTGTCGTTGCGCCTTTCTCTTTGAAGGATGGCTTTTGGCGTGTGTCTTACATTTTCGGCATCCCCGATTGCCATCACATGTTCCGGGGCGATTTGCAGACTGTTCAAGAGGCGCCTCACGCCGTTTCCTTTTGAAGCGTTGGGTGGCAACACCTCCAGCATGTTGCTTTGTGCTTGTGTCAAATGACCCAGATTTCCAATACGCTCGGCCACGATTGGCCGTATCTCATCGATATGCGACGGCTCTGCCATATAGATAAACTTGTTCAACGGTCGCTTGCCTATCGCATCGCCCCAGTCGCCAATCGCAAGTGGGGAAGGTTCCTGGTTCAGCAAACAATTGGCCATCACACAAACAAGAGCCGGTCAGTATATGGAATTTCCCACATATTCGCTTCTTCTAGCCTGTCCAAAGCGCGCGCTTCCTACCTTATAACTCGGTATCAAATCCACAAACTTGTCTGTTCTCTCGCATAAAATATCATCCCTGCTGTACGCAATCAGTGACAGGCCAAGTTCTTTCGCGATATCGACAGTTCTCTGCGCCAACATGTCCGCACACTTGTTCTCATACACGACATCACCATTCTCCCCAAAAACAATAAGCCCTTGTAAATAGACACCAGGGCATCCGCCAGGATTCCTGTCGTTGAGATAGTCACCGACGTCGGCCATGGATTTGAGAGCACCTGCTCGAGACTTTCCAGTCGCCGGTACAAACATAACGTCCGTCTCATCTAGGAGCCTTCTCACAGCTTGCTTATTACGCTCCGATATGTCAGTGCTGGCGTTGAGTATTGTACCATCCTTTAGTCGTGGAGAACGGTCGCGAAAAGTTAGTTAGATGCAGTTTGACGTGATTTCCGGTGTCCTCGTCACCAAGCGGTCGGCACGAAGTGTGTCATGCTTACCATGTCACAAGCCATAAGTCGAATAAGGTTGAAGGCCTTAGCTCTATCTCCACGTGCGTTTGAGGATACTTGTGAGACAATACAAACTCGTGCGGGGCGCTTATTCTTGGCACAAAGCGGAACACAGCCCCACCTTCTCGAGAGAAGACTGCGGTGCGCACGAGCACGACTGACGGAGATGGGTTGCACAAAAACTGTCATTCTGTATAGGGAACGAGCTCACGCGCAAATTTGGTTGCAACTTCCGCTTTGCCTGTGCCTTCCTCGGATAAAACAAAGCAGGTGTTTGCTCAACTGGACAGAACGAGTAGTGCGTAGAGCACTACTGGACAGCAACCTCTCGCTTTCTATTCTGAAACCAAACAAGAAATATCTCCAGTCTCGGCAGATATGTTTCGGCGGCGGGACATGTACCGAGCATGAGGTCAGCAGAGAATTGCAATGAAATGCATACATGCATGCCATTCTAAGCTTGCACATTTGCTTAATATGAAGGCGGGGAGCCTGAGTCGCGATGTGTGAAGCAGATTTAGTCCTGGACGAGTTTGGTCTGTGGATAAAAACAACCCTCCTGAAAATCTGAGCGTGCCAATCAGAAGTCGTCTCCAAATCGAATTTTCGAGGGATGACGTCATTGAGCCGGCCACGAGCTACAGCACCTGGCGGATGGCGGTGAAGGCGGCCCAGGCATGTAAGGGTGGGTCTTTCTTCAAAATCTTGGATAAAGTGGAGAGTCACTTTACCCTGGCACTCCACTTTATCCAAGATTTGAAGCGAGCCTTGGCATACGTGCTTTGCAACCCACAGAAAGATGACGAGCGATTCAAGAGCATGGAGTTGGTGCGGGAATATTCCTGATAAGAGCAAAGGCACAAACTACCGCAGCCTTTTCTTGCTCAACAACGCTGCCGACGACGCGTCGATCCATCTAACCGATGGCAGCAACTCGTTCACAGGCAAGGCTACCCGCACGACGCTCACAACGCCATCTGACGCTTCGTTAGCGGGGATAGACGCAGGGACGATCTTTCAGAAAGTACGGCAGGTGTTGGACGCGCCAAACAACCCGGCGGACCCCGAATCGAAAGGCTCTGCTCGCGTCGTGACGCAAGGCAGAGAGAACGGGGCGAGCGAAGAAGGACACACGCTGCGCGTCGCCGCTCGATGGGGCGAAGAGTTTGGCGTGAGGGATGTGGAGGTCGACGTGGCGTCAATGGGGCTGCGGCGACAGGATGGAAACGAAAAGTTTCTCAATGCGGTGTTTGCGCGACTGCGGAGCAGCACAGAGGCGATTCGGAAGATGGAAGAAGAGGAAAAGCGACTGGATGTGGAAATCGAAGACTTAAGTGTGGCGTACGAATTTCTTGAGGAGGCGCGAAGCGCGGAGAGCAAGCAGAAGCGCCTAGGTAAACTTGCCGACGAACTGAACGACTACAAGAAAATGTGCATCAAGGCGAGCGAGGGCGGGGTGAAATGAGCGGCCGGGTGGGACGAATGCGCGCTGGCGGAGACGGGTCAGCGGAAGGAGAAGAGCATGGTCCAGAAGAGGACGTAGGTGAGGATGGCGTTGCGATCGAAGACGCCCGTGAGGAGAATTTGCGTGGTCGGGGAGGAGAGGAATTTGTACGGTTGGAAGGCGGTCTTCATGAGCAGCGTGCTGGAGATCATGGCAGAAAGGGCCAGGTAGAAGGCGGCGCCATCCTTGCCGGTTAGACCCAGCAGCCCGGCGACGCAGCCGCCGGCGATGTTGCCGATGATTCGACTGCGGTGGGGGAGAGCAAGGTGGTTAGCAGGGATCGGGGGATTGACGAGGTGGGGGGCGGTCGGGCGGGGTCTGTGAACTTACATGAAAGTTAATGCATTTTGGTTGGCGTGATAGTTGGGTCGCTGAGGGCCGCCGCCGGTGGGCATGACGGACATTGCGGGGGTGGGCCGCGGACGGGTTGATGGGGCTTCTAGGGAGAATGCTAGCGTCGGGAAGCGGGGACCATCGCGGGTTTGTTGACAGGGAGGGTTTCGGACCCTGGAGAGGTCGGCTGATTGCAATCAAAGCGAGACGGGGCAAGAGAGATGAGCACGTTCGCCCTGGATGGAAAGGCATGGTTTTAACTAGAGGTGCGCCGTGCCCACGCATGGCCCAATTTGGCCGATGATGGCATGCTGTGATTCGTGGCGTATAGAAGGCCCTCTCATTTAGTGCACGTACGCGCAGGGGCTTCAAATGAGCGACAAATCGGCACATGCGCTTGATGCAACTTTCGAAACAAGCGCGTGTTTGGTTTTAAAGGCAGCACTATCGAAGTATCCCAGTATCCAACTCTACTTCTGCTGTTTGCCTTGACGGCTTTGGCGATTTCAAAGAGACAAAATGCAAGCGGCGTGCATGTCGAATATGCTGTGAGGCATGTGAATCGCGCACAGCAATTTTAGGGCAGTGGCCTCTAGAGTGGCGCAGCATTGTGCGACGTCCTTCAAACTGGATGGTGGGGTTTCGGGTTGGGATGTGCTACTTGCTTCGGCTCGCGATTCGGCTCGCGATTCGGCTCGCGATTCAGTCTCAGCGGGGTTCTGAGGATAGCTCTGCCCTTACAGTTTGTACCGACCTGCGTCGCGCTGCGGCTCTTCGTCGATCGCATCCGGTCGACGTGCCTCGCGGGCAAGGGCGCTCTGGTCTACTCGAGGCGACCGGATGCGTGAAGGCCCGAGGTGTAGTGCGGGGGAGGGCTCCGTCGTGTCAGGCACATCGGTGGTCCGGCCAAGGGCCCAGTGCTGTGAGACGGAGAGCGGCCCCTGCCAGCCTTTCGTTTCAAGAGCGAAGCGAAATGCCACTACCGCGCGCGACAGTTAGCCTTGCGATAATAAAGGCAGCCCCCGACAGATCCCCAGAGGCGGGGATCATCGGTTCGGGGAGCATCGCCAACGGAGCCGCCCTTCAGAGAGACCCTCGTCCTCGCTTCCTCCCTGCGCGCGCGCCTCCCTCGCCCGCCGACGTCGTCCACGCTCGCTCGCGAGGAACTTCGAACCCGCCGGTTGCCACAAGTTACAGTACCCATACAGGGGATGGGGGTCGCGCAGTAAAGCTGAAGTGAGTGGGGCCAGCATCTACACAAGGCGCCCTATTTCAGCTTGTCACCAACATCCAAAGATTCGACGTGGACACGTGCCACAGTGCTGTTTGGCCTCCTGCACACATCTGTGAAGATATCCAGGCTCCCTGACTCCGAATACAACTCTGTGACTGAACTTGAATCGTGAAAAGGCGGGCGAGGCTCTCTCTCAGTGTTGTGGTTTGCGTGGAATCGTTGCCACCAAGCACGTGGAGATTTACTACACGCCTCAATACTTCAACAACTTACTTATCCTCAATAAGGGGGATAAGCGGAGAGTCAAGTGGTGGCATCTGATTGCATTCTTCTTGAAGAAGGTCTATACCTTGACAGCCTGACCGCATTTCTAAAGGAAGTGTATGGGTAGCAGTACTTGGCAAATTTTGATCTGTTGAATGCTGCAGAAGAACAAAAAGAGAAGATTAATGAAGCAAGGCCTCCCTCTGCACCAGACGCCGCTTTGGCATTTGGAAGGGGTGCGCCTTACTCCGCGTACCTGTACTGTACCCTTAAGGGTACTGTGCCTCTCAACAGTGCCATATCATACCACAAAGCCCTTCTCATAACTGCAGGCCGTCCTGCCCGTGCGCAAAACTGAAACATCCTCTACATAGATGTGCACTATATGAGGGCCCGGCTGAAGAGCCTTTGCAGATTCGGAATATTCACAGTTACTTTCTACAGTGACGCACTTTTGTGAAGAAGAAATGAAAAGCGCCAAGTGTCCAACCATGCCATACACCAGACACGCCGTTTTCAAAGGGGAGGGATGCGGTCTTGGCCTTAATTTGAGTCACCGCACGGCACACAGGCACACAGGAGGGTGTGTCTTAACATGCACCGTTTTTGAGTCGCACATCATCTGTCCAATACATCATGCCAGGACCACTCAGCTTGCAAGGCACAACAAGGTCAATTCTGCGCGACCTGCAATGCACAGAGAGATACGAGCACCAGACACCGACCCTGGCCCTTCATCGTCTCCTTTCATCTTCTCCCTTCATCTTATCCCTTCATCTTATCCCTTCATCCGCGCAACCCACCTCATCCCACATCCCGACCTCATCGCCCCTCCGTACGCCATGCCAGACTCCCCTCTCGCCGGCCTGGATGTGCGGGCGTCCGACGTCGCGGCCGTCGAGCACTCCGTGCTCGCCACCGCCGAGGCCAACGCGTCCAAGGCCGAGGCCGAGGAGCGAGCGCGCCTTCTCCGCGACCACGACACCCAGCTCTCCGCCCTGCTCAAGCAGGAGCGTATCCTCAGCGCTGGCCGATTTTCCACGCATGCCAACCGCCAAATCAAGGCCGTGCGCGCCCGCATTGACACTATCAAGGCAAAACGCAAGCGCATTATTGAGGCCGCCCAGGCTAGAGATGAGATTAGAGACCGCGGCCAGGAGGGCAGGGGGAAGGACCCCGCAGGGACGGTCGTGCATAAGGAAGAGGGTGAGCGAGATACCGACTTTTTGATCAGGACTGGCAAACTCACTCCTTTTGAAGCACAGAACCCTGGCGCCACGCAAGCGAGGAACCCGGTCCGGAGAAGGAGGACGAAACTCGGTGATGTTGAGTTTTCAGCCCCTGTCGCGGGTGTCGACGGCACTGTTTTCCCGCCACACGTAGAAAGCGCTGATGCATCTGCCAGTGATGGCAATGTGGACCCTGTCACATTGCCTACATCGTCTGGTAGATATCGTGCGGGCCCAATTGCTGCTGAGCAGCCTAGCTTAATTGCGAGCGAGGGTGAGTCGGACGGTGTTCATCCAGAAACCAGTGCAGCACGTGCGAAACCTGTAGCAAAGAGACGACGACCGACTAGCGATTCTGGCAGTGGTGGGGATGAGTACAAACCGGATGAGTCAGACGACAGCCTTGCCGATGAGTTAGAGTGGAAGCCTGAAGGAGCGAAGAAGCGCAAAAGATCACCGAACTCTGCGTCGTTTCACGACATTGTAGATGACGCAGACGACGAAATTCCAGGTCGGAGCGATACGCCTGAAGTGGATGAGGGCCCGCAACTTCCTGAAGGCGATGACTGGAAGCTAGATTCGACAGAGGAGATTGAATTGGATGGCGGGATACGAATACCGGCCTCGATATATGATAAGCTCTTTGATTACCAAAAAACTGGAGTAAGCAGATGTTGTCGCTGAAGGTTTCTTCATTTTCTTCCTATCCATGCACCGGCATTGTTTCTGACAATATATACCTTCTTCTGACTGGCAGGTGCAATGGCTGTGGGAGCTTCACATGCAAGGAACAGGAGCAATCCTGGGAGACGAGATGGGTTTAGGAAAGACCGTTCAGATCGTTGCCTTTCTCGCAGCACTCAATTACAGCGGCAAACTGAAAGGGTCTGCGATCGTTTTGGCACCAGCAACAGTGCTTCGTCAGTGGTATCGCGAATTTCGAACTTGGTGGCCTCGGTTCCGGGTGAGAATACTTCACCATTCCCAAGACCAGAACCATAAAGGCAGAAAACGACGTAGGCGTTCTGGAATGCCGCGATACGACCCAGACGCCATTCTTGAAGATGTGATCGGCAATAAGCATGGTGTGTTGATAACCAGCTATGAACAAGTGCGTAAGAACCATGACGCGTTGCTTGACAAATTCGACTATGTCATTGCGGATGAGGGTCATAAAATGAAGTCACCGGACGCCGAAATCACTCTTGTCTGCAAGAGATTCGACACGCCTCACCGCATAATTGTGAGTGGGTCTCCTTTGCAAAATCATCTGAAGGAGTTGTGGAGCCTGTTTGACTTTGTGTTTCCGGGAAAACTTGGCACACTCCCCGTTTTCCACGCTCAATTTATTATACCCATCACGATGGGCGGATACTCTACAGCAAGCAAGGCTCAGGTTCACACTGCATACAAATGTTCTGTTGTTTTACGCGATTTGATATCTCCTTACCTTCTGCGAAGGATGAAAAGAGACGTTGCGACTCAACTTCCAGAAAAGAACGAGCAAATTTTGTTTGTCAAGCTCTGTTCGGAACAAAGAGAAAAGTACAAAACCTTTCTCCGATCTCGGGCGGTCCGTCAAGTTTTGTCGGGGAAACTGAACCTCTTGTATGCAGTCACAGCACTCCGCAAAATTTGTAACCATCCAGACATTCCCTTAGAGAGCAATGAAGGTAGAAACCACTCAGCCAAAAGTCTCGCAAAAAAGAAGGATCGTATTGCCCCTCGAATAGCAACGTTTTCACAAAAAGAAGGTGAAGAAATCCCCGAGGACTATGGAAACTGGCGGAGGTCAGGCAAAATGCTAGTATTGGAAAAGGTACTCTCTGCTTGGAAAAAGGCTGGAAGTAGGGTCTTATTGTTTAGCCAAACCAGGACAATGTTGGATATTCTGGAAGAATTTGTTAATGATAACGGATATTCCAGTCTAAGGATGGATGGCACAACAGCTGTGGGTTCCCGAATGTATCTGATTGACAAGTTCAATACAGATTCAGATGTCTTCATTTTCTTGCTCACAACAAGGGTTGGAGGCTTGGGTGTCAATCTGACTGGTGCTGACCGTGTCGTCCTTTATGATCCTGATTGGAACCCAAGCACGGATTTGCAAGCTCGAGAAAGAGCGTGGAGAGTCGGACAAACTCGTCCAGTAACGATTTATCGGTTGATTACAACGGGTACCATAGAAGAGAAAATATACCATCGTCAGGTAAGCTTCAGCGCTCGAACCATGTATCGGGTTGACACGTGAAACCTCTCGATGTAGGGGCATGGCTTCCTAGGACTTACGCAGCGTACAAAAACCTTCTTCTTCCGGTTTCTGCGAACAGATTTACAAGCAATTTTTGACGAATAAGGTTCTCAACGATCCACGGCAGCGTCGTTTCTTCAAGCCTAAAGATATGCGGGATCTCTTTACACTTAGCGACGATTTAGAGAAGGGGACTGAAACTGGCGATATTTTCGCGGGAACTACTGCGAAGGAAAGGACGGGCGTCGAAGGAGATGAGACATCCGAAATCCAGGCTTCTAAGGCAGCAACTGGGCAAAAATCTGTTGATGATGATGATAACGGGGAAGAGGGCAACGCTCAACTGCTGAATACCTTATTAGATGATTCTGGGGAGGGCGTGCTTCACAGCACAATTAATCATGACGAAGTTTTGAAGGCAGGAACGGATGGAAAGGATCACAAGCTGGTAGAGTATGAGGCTGATCAAATTGCTGCCAAAGCGGTGGAAGAGTTAAAACGGTCAGCACGTCGCCGAAGGCGAGACAACGTCGGAGTGCCAACATGGACGGGAAAATCGGGATTGGCAGGGTTTGTGAGTTCAAGACCAGCGAGTGGTGTCGGTAGCTCAAAAGCTGCTTCTTTGTTGCAGAGAATCAAGCAGAGAGAAGGCACTGGATTAGATACCCCGAAGAGTGCAGCGGACCCCGACTTATCGGAGAACGGTGCTCTCTTAAGGGACATCATCCAATTTTTGCGAGAAAACGGAGGCCATGGTACATCCGCTGCAATTGTTGGTCAGTTTCAGGCTAGAGTCGACAGCAGTCCGAAAGGTCTGCCTGGTTTTAAGTCTCTGTTAAAAAAGGTAGCATTTTTGAAAAAAGGTGCAGGACCAAATGGGTCCTCTGTGTGGAAATTGCTGTCGAAGTATTCACAAGACCCGCAGGACCAGTGATCATTTGAGATGAAGACACTCATCTCAGCAGATCTGCTTTGCACAACTGATGGTGCAAGTCTTTTGGAATTTAGGCACTGCGCACACGGATCCGATTCGTTTCCGGTGTATTCTTCACAGAGCTGATCGATACATTCTATCTATTCTTCTTGAAGTCGTTGTAAACGTTGGCCCACATCCCTATGATCAACAAGAAAAAGCTTTTCTGCAACAATGATGGTACGCCAGGCATCCGCTGAAGCCAAAGGTTGAAGCAATCCCATTTTGTCACTGCATCCATGACCAAGTGCATACCTTGACCGTCTTCCGGCCAGTTCTCTGGAGCATAAAGCCAACTTATCACATAACTACGCGATACCCTCGAGAATATTGGAGAGGCAGTGCAATGACCTGCATATATCTGTAGCCTCCTTGCAATAATCTTCATTCTGGAAAAAGCTTATCTGTAGACTCATTGCCTCAGAGGATCTCTTGAGATATTTCACGTGCAGCTCAGCCAGGATTTGTATTAGCCTCTCCCGATCTCTCGCCACGCGGTCCCCACATCTCTTGTTCTATCTGCCCTTTCTTCTTCTTTCTTCACTCCGTTACCTGCAACCGCCTTGACATAAAGAGCAAAGAACAGGTTCCGGGCAGCTACATGCCGCTCTCGATATGCGTCTGCAACAATTCTGTTCTCCTCGAATGCATATCGAGACACAGCCAGAACATCGCTTCATGCGTGGGCGGCGGATTCGTCACAGGAGCACAGCAAAGTTCAACGGGATGTGATACTGTGAATAGCTCTGTTCTATCTCTCTGCCAATCGCAGCAGCTTTCTCGGCTTCGCGAGATACGTCTCGAAACCTTTCACGAACCTCAGAGATATGAGTAGAGATATTTGCTGTGGATACCAAAAACTCGTGGAGAGCCATAGCCATGGACACCAGCTTTTTGACATATGAGCATGAATGGACTCGAATTGTAAAGACAAAGGCAAGGCAGACATGGTGTCCCGGTAGTTTCGGAATTCGGACGGTCTACAATAAGAACCTCATCCCGAGCGGATTTGGGATATAGCAGCATGTCCTACGATGAGCCCCGGCGCCGTGCATAAATAAAGCTATCGGCGTTTGCCTTTTTTTGTCTCGAGCTGTGGACAGCAGGGCAAAAAAACAAAAACACACACGAAGCCTTCGCTCCAGTCAATTAATTGTCTCTGACAGGCAGGTTTGGTAAAATGGGGAATCCTTTTTTAACGAGCTGCAAGACATATTTGTTTCTCTTCACTGTCCGGTGAACCCAATGTCTGACCAACTCTTCGCTTCGATATCCCAATATCCTCTCGCGTTTGCGGCTTGTGCAGTCAGTCTCCTTGAGATACCGCCTACGTTACTGAGCCATTATGCACCTTCTTCGTTTCCAATTGAATATGCAGATGTCTATTCAACCATCCTTGCCCTACTGCTTACCGTTTTGTACTACATTTCAAGCGCGCAGACTGCGCGGCAGTCATTCCTTTGCCTTGCAGTTTCCATATGGGCAATTCGCTTGTCCACATTCTTAGGATCTCGGGTCAAGGCAGGCTTTCGTGACTCTCGCTTGGACATATTTCGCGGATCTATTAAACGCGCTGCACGCTGGGGCTTCGCACAGGCACTCTGGGTCTTTTTAACGTTGGTCCCGGTCTGGATTGGCATGTCATCTTCGGCGCGGATGTCATCCCTTAGTGCAGTGGATATTGCGGCTATGGGTCTCTGTGCCATCGGTTTAGTGATAGAAGTACTCGCGGATGTTCAGAAAACTGCGTTCCTCAAGTTCAACAAAGCACAACCGGAGGCTGCAAGGAAGCTTGCTTGTGATGTCGGGCTATTCAAATACTCAAGGTTTCCGAACTACTTCGGAGAATGGCTCTTTTGGACCTCTCTTTGTCTGCTTACGTGGCAAGGGTCAGAAGGACTAGTCAAGATGTTGCTGCCAGTCTCTTCTTGGTTTGTCTCTAAAGTGTTCTTCCTCTTTTCAATTCCTATCGCTGTTACGGCAATCAAGAGGCGTGCCACCGAGGGTCAGTTTGCGGAATGGTGCGAAATCAGCATATTTGTTCCGCTTCCCCGACGCAAAAAGTCGTAGTCGCGGCGGAATGTCTGATATACAGCATAAAAGAATTGTCCCATAGCTCTGGATCCTTGGCCTTTGCTGCCATGTCCTGCAACTACTCTGATTGGAACGATCAGCTCTGGCCAAGGAATGACGCAACAACAATTGCTCTCATGTGCTTCAGTTAAGTTTCAAAATAAGCGCTCAACGCTCAATTTTGTACTATCAAATTATCAATTCATAGTATTCAAGACGGTCGCAGTCTGCGTCTGGAGCAAACGTATCCCTTCCGGAGATAGAATCTGCTCATTGTTTATGAAGCTCATGCTTCACCAAGCTTCTCTCCAATTGAATATAGCGCAAACACCCCTGTGCAAATAGAAATGAATGAATCCTGACCCTTCACAATGACGACTCTTGGAACAAGCGGCTTCGAGAGAACGTGTCCATTACCATTTAGCGCAGATGTACTTCCCACCACCCATACAGTCCAACAAAGTCTCTACAGCTAAACACAACTGATATCGGTCCCCAAAACCTCTGAAGCTAACTCGAAAAAGCGCATCGTCACATCCTCTACAACGCCAGCTAGTGCATGTTTTTCCCCCGGATACTCCACATATCTCACATCCCTCCCCAGTCGCCTCAGCGTATCCCTCGTCTTCCTCGCAATCTCAACCGGAAGCATCTCGTCCGCTGTGCCCTGAAACATTACCACGGGTGCCGCAGCAGACGCATCGGTCATCTCCGCAGGATACGAATCCCTCATCGGCAGAAACGACGACACTAATATCGCCGCGGCAACCCTGTACCGCAGGTACACCGTCGCTGCAACGGAACCCCCCTGCGAAAACCCCGCCACGAAAACACGCTCCTTTCCAATTCCGAATACTTCTGTCTGCAGTCGAATCAAATCGTGGACGTTCCTCGCCGCGCGCAGAATTTGTCCCCGCTCCCATGGCCCGTCTGCCAGATCTCCAGTCGCATCATACCAAATCGGTAAGGACAAGTTAGCACTCGTCAAAAACTCCGTGGGCGCCTGCGGAAGCACAAACCTGAAGACGGCACCGCGCGCCTCGTCAACCACGCTCTGCGCGGACGGAACCAAGCCCGTGTTCGTGAGGCCCGCGCCATGAAGCAAGACGACGACTGTGTCGGGCACGTCCCTCTTGGACTCGACAACTCTGAGCGGGTACGCCGGCGGGCGCAGGCCAAGACGGTTGGCGGCGCGGCGGACCGCCGTCTCCAGCTCGCTCTCAATTCTCTGCACGCCTCTCGTGGGCGCGGGCGGACACCCACGGGCCCTTGCGAGGCGGAGCTCCTTCTTGGCGTAGGCGACGCTTGGACACTTTCTGCGGACGCCAGATGAGTCCCAGCCTATACGGCGACAGGCTTCAAGCGCGCGTTGGAGGAGGCGTCGCTCCGAAAGGCACGCAGTGCAACGTATGGCTTTGCACGCGGTAAGGGACGTGCGAGATTCGGAGCGGGTCTTGCAGACGCGGCGCAGGCGGAGGTACTCTACGGGGGATAAGCCTGCGTAGCGGCAGCGGCGAGCGGAGTGCAGGGCGATGAGGGCGGAACGACAGGTGAGGTGGCGCCGGGCTTGAGCGAGGTCGGCTTGGAGGGCGCGGACGCGGGATAAGGGGGATGCAGGAGTTGCTTGAGCGTGGGAAAGAATAAGGAGGAAGAGAATAAGGGAGACTTTCATGGAGGAAGAGTAAGTAGCGCATGAAGAGGAGGAGTGCGGAGAGGGTGGATTGCAGGTGAGCACTTTGGTAGGGGAAGGAAGGGGGGGGGGCATAGGATGTCGGCGAGTGTTGTGGAAAAAAACGCGTCTCCTGCACAAAGAGAAGACGTTTTCTGCGAGAGGCACGCTCAACGAGACACACTCAGATATCGCCTTGCTGGTTTGTTTTTATTGGCCACAGCAGTGAGGAAAGTTACAACAATTACAGCTTAATTACAGATGGGTAAGGAATCGCGGTATCAGCGGTATTTAAAGAATAGGACCCCTCACCTACCGGCCCTCCGCCCCGTCGCGATGCATTGAGCCAACCTCCAAATGTAGCTGCATTCCTTTCGATCTGTTTCAACGAGAACAAGGAGAGCGAACAAACCGCTTCCAGCCCTCTTCAATTCCCCGATTGCACGAAACCGGTAAGCTCGAACGACTTCCCCTTTCATGCAATGAGTCGCGGTTATGAAGAGCCAATTTGGAACGATAGGGACATATGAACATTCCTGATTAGAATTCCAGAGCACCGCTCAAACAACTCTGACACCGCCACACGCATCCAAATTGCCGAACTTGCACACTCTAAAAGACAAATCTGACACCTCGAATCCCATTCTTTGCTTCCTAAGGATTGCACTTTGTTTTATTCGTCTTCCTCACTCTATTCACTTTGAAAGTTAAGGCTTGGTATTTACACGACCCGTTACGCTCAATGCTGAAGAGCCGCTGTTCGCAATGTTTCCAGATCTTGTCGCTATTGCCGGTGAGCTCCTTATCGCACGTATTCGGCGGGGGCTTGAAGCCGTCTCCGCCTCCGCTTGTCGCAGGAGCCGGATGATATCGTGGAAACCTCCACGCTCCGCTTCATGGTATGCAGTCGATCCCCATCGGTCTCGATGCCCTACACCTGCCCTATGCCGAATCAACAGCTCTACAATGTCAAACCTTCCCTCTGAAGCTGCAACCTGTCAAAGTAAAGCACATAAAAAGAAAAACCACTCGTACAGTCAGGGTCTGCTCTATCGCTTCGCATAACGGCCATCTCATTCCTCGCAGAACAACAAACGTACTGCTAGCGGTGTCCTCCTGTCATAATCTGTACAGTTCACGTCCAGTCCTGAGTCCAGTAGACGCTTCAACGTTACTACATCACCCTCTGCCGCTGCATTAATAGCAGTCTGATTCCTTAGATTTTCTGCCTGGTCCTTGTTCAAAACCTTTTCCACATTATCGCCAACATCCGCTCTCTTCACAAGGTGGCTTCGCCCTTCGACCGCCCTCAGAATCCGTGCGGGCTCGCTGTCACCCGTTCGATTTGCATAGTTAATAGCATCACTCAATGGAGAATTGCCCCACCGATCGTGTGATAGCATCGCCCCTGAGGAAAGGAGCAGTCTCACACAATTTGTGTGGCCCTCCGCCGCAGCTATGTGTCAAAATTGTCATCAGCCACGCGTACACAAAACAAGTATGACTTCGTCAGTGGTCGGAAAGATACCTCTGTGTATCAAGGGACAGCAAAGTTGCGCCTTTCAAAAGGAGAAGTAGTAGAATGCAAAAGACTTACCTACATGAAGCGCTGTGCGCTTGTCGTAATCAGCATAATTTACCATAGCCCCTTCGTCAATGAATCGTGCAGCCTTGTCTTGATGACCACGATACACAGCCTCAAGGAGGCGCTTGGACAGGTCAATGCTCACGAACTCTTGTTGATCGTCATCAGTCTCTTCGCCTGAATCGAGTGCGGCGTTCTGTATTCTCGCAACCTCATCTTCTAGTTCTGCTGAGGACAGAACTCGCAAAATCTCTTCAAAATTTGGTCTTGCTTCGGGCTTTTGACTCCAGCACCTTTGAATCAAGACCTGCATGGTTTGAGGTACGTTGTCCTCCTCATAAAAAATGGGACGGCGCCCCTCTGCTACGCTGAACATTAATTGAATCGGTTTCATCTTTGGAAACGGAAAACGCCCCGTGTACATTTCGTACATGACTACCCCAAATGAGTAGACATCAGCAGCTGGCGTATGAGATTTCCCTTCCATGACTTCTGGTGCCATGGTGTACGGGGTTCCCACTCCCATCGCTTTGCCTCCTCCACCAGCCTTCGACAAGTTCAGGCCTGAGGCTTCGTTAACAAATTGACTGCTCAAACCAAAATCACAAATGACACAATGCGTTAATGCTCGATTGATAAGAATGTTGCTTGCTTTCAAGTCGCGATGGAGAATCGGCGGGGATGATGCATGAAGGTAGAACATGCCCCTCGCCACACCCGCCAGCATGTCCAGTGCTTTTGCTGGGGTGAACTTTCGCGGATTCGGTCCATGTAGAAAGTTAGCCACTGATCCTCCCGTGTATAGTTCCGTCACAATACAAACATAGGGTTCGAAACATATTCCCATGTATAGCAAACAGTTTGGATGACGAATTTGCAGCAGCAGCCAAAACTCTTCAACATAGTCACCCACAACATCTTTTCGTACCTCCTCGTCAGAGGTCGCAAGTGTTTCGATGCCAGCAGCCTCTCCGTGACCGTCGTTGAACACTTTGACAGCGACCGGGATGTGCAACCACACGCCCTCGTACACAGTTGCGCATGCTCCTCGCCCCAGTACCTTCCCGAATTGAACTTGGTCGTAGTTGATAACGAAAGGCTTCGCCGCATACATTTCAACGTTTCCCCAGTCTTCTTCTTCGGTAGCCTGGGATCGATTCAGGCTACCTCGAGAATCGCGCCCGGACTTAACATCCCGTCGCACTAGCTTATGCTTCTTGGGAAGCGGAATTTGAATCTTTCTCTCTGCCGACGACGGGTCAGATGCCCTCGATTCCTCGACTAATGTTGGTTTAGACCATTCCATGCTCGGAGAATTAGATACTGGAGTCTGGGAATCAACAGAGAGCATTCCTTGACGCTCCATGCGCAACTCCACAACATCGAGCTCTTTCTTTTCTATATATTTCATATGTTGACCAGCGACGGAACCTAGATTTTCTAACCAAAGCGTAACGACCTCGGCCTCCTTCACTTTCTCAATGAAGTCGTCATATGAAATACCCATGTTGTCCGTGTCAGAAGATGCTGCAATTAGTTCGCCAGCAACCTTCCGTATTTGTTTATCATTTTCCTCTTCATCTGGGATGCCTTCATGATCCGTGACCTCAGTGACTATTCTCTGCATTAGCTTCAAGGAGCTAATGAGTTGGTCACGAGTTAGATATCCATCGCCTTCGACGCTACCATAAATCGCAAACAAGTACTTGAGACGTCCCTCGGTACAGCCGCGACACAGAATAGCGTATCCCAGGATGAATTCGCGAAGGGTTACTCTGCCTGCGACATCTCCTTGACCTGAATTGAAGATGTTGAATATAACAGTCGGATCAATAGTCAAACCATCGGCGATGTATTCGCCGGCTGCCTTTTTGAATTCTTCTGGGGTGAGGCCGGTGTTCCCTGGGTCGTTTTGCTTATAATAATCGATGAGGGTGTTGACCTCTGCCAATTTCAGGTTGTTCTCAAGCCCAAGTTCCCTTGCGCTCAATTCGTCTACACCAAGTCCCCGACCATCCTGTACAACAGGACGAGCAACGTTGCTTCCCATGCTCAGATTTCGAGAACTAATTGAAGAGAAAGCTTATCTTCACCACGAGCCGGACACCTGGGCTCTGGTTGATGTGCAATCGACAGAAGGCAGAAACTGATCAGCGGGTACCCAAAGTCTTGACAAAAATGATTTTCACGAGACCAAAGTACGGCTGAGGAAGACGAAATATATAAAAGGGGTCGTGTTCTGCAAGGAGAGTGGTGCAGATGTTGAAGGCGATTCTCGTGTGTACAGAACAACTTTAGGTTCTCTGAAATCAGAAACGCAGGACTTGCCGCGCCAAGCGCGCGTTACTTGTCGGCAGAGGTAATCTTTCGGCCCCCTTTGATGCCATTGAAAGCAATGTGCACTTCCGAAAAGGTATGGAAAGACATGTACCTGGAGAGCACTGAACTAGAATTCAACAAGGCGGTGCGGGTGACAGTGACACTGGGACAGCCCTCTGTGTGCTGCAAGATACTGGGCCGACTCCCTGTTGCGACTTTTCCCCAGACTTTTCAACTCTCCTCTGCTCCAGTTGGACGTTGCAATAAAGCACCGATTCAGTTGAACACGTGGGTGATTTTTTTAATATTCATATTTACCCCGTACAGTACAGTGCCTCCTACGATATAGTGCTATAGCGTGACATACCTCTAGCTATGGCACTATTGGGGGGATGGCACTATATAAAGGAGGCTCAAATACATATATTTGGGGACAAAGCACACTGCTAACACAAACACAACAAAGCCTGTATAACACAACTAAATAACTTCATCCTTTGAGTACTGAACCATGCCGGATGATACACGTGTGAGCTTATGATAACCTGTGCCAGAGGGTGAGCCATAGCACTATATAGAGGGAAGCACTACTAAAGTAGGCACTATTGAGCGACCCCCCCCCCTGTATTGCAAATATCCTGTAATATTTGCAATACGGTGCCGCGAATAGCGACCGCTACTGCATTTATAGTATAAATAAAGGGTCAAAGTGTAGATTTTGGGGCGACACCCGGCCAAAGTGAAATCTACGTGGGGCGATTTCAATGCGGTGGGGGTTTTTATAGGGCGACACTACTAAAAAGTGCTTTGCTAGTAGGGTGATTTTGGTCCATGGTGTCCTTTTGATGGGGTGACAATGCACGTTTTCTAGGGTGACAGAAAAACGATCGTAAAGTCACCTCCGACAAACTCATATTCGGGGATGTCACCCCATAAAAATGTATACCATAGTGGCATTTCGGCAGAGACCTAAATGTTAGAAAAGTCGCCCTAGAAACGCATGATTGTTTTAATGTCACCCTTATAAAAGCACGCCAACGCACGGTTTCGCGCTGGATATAGCGCTCTCAAAACTGAAACAATATAGTGTGGCTATAGAGGCCGCCCAGTGCCCACCACAGTAGCTGGCATACGGTGACGCGCGGTCACGCGGCGTACGTTCTGCCTTGTGAACCCGCCATTTTTCGGCGTCTACGTTCCCCAGCTCCCCCCCCGCACATCTCGCCGCAATGCCCTCACGCGCCTTCTTCATCGCCTTGCTCACCCTGCCTCTAGCATGGTGCACCGCGGCCGCGTCTCCAAGTGACCCGGAACCCGCACCAAAGAGCCCGGCGCCCATCAACATGCTTCCGTGGTATGGAAAATACTGTATGTCATTGTATGTAGATAGAGTGGGTAAAAGTTGCCGGTGTTTCGCATATGAAGTCACCCTATATTTCCAACTGAAATCACATCAATCTCAGAAAACGATCCAATGTCGCCCTATAGACACAGACAAAGATCAGCATGTTTCAACATGTCGTTTTCTTAGGGCGACGTCACCCTCGGAATTGGATGAATGAGGAACGTCACCCTTCAATGCCACCTCAATTGGGGTAGTCGCCCCCAAAACACCCCCAGGGCTAGAACTTCACCTCCCCAGGGGCATCAAAAGCCGCACCTGTCACCCCAAGATCCGCAAATGGCCCATAAATAAATTTATATTATAAATTTTATACGATGCCTTCTAACGAAAGACTGCTGCTTGCGCGCGGCCTTCTTTTATTCTTCCGCTAACTGCGGAATGTGATTGCGTAATCGACGACGATCCCTTTTGGCCGTCGGCGTGGTTTATTCAGATACTTAAAATGGGCGCTGAAGTCTTCGTGTGTACGTGTACACGTTGCGTAATAATAATACTGGCTTGGGACACGCGTTTTCTGTGTCCGAGCGTTTTGTTTTGGTTACGCTTTGCGTAATAACACTCCTCCTGCTCGGATGCAGGTGTCGGAGTGGCTCATGGCAGAGTCAATTATCCGCCCATGTTTGAGTCATGGATATTCTTTGCTTGTTGGCCCTGAACTTTTGTGCACCCAGCGGCTTCGTAAGCATGTCTGCCAGCATGCGTTCAGACGGGACGTGCAGGACTTTGATGTCGCCGTTGCCGATGTGTGCGCGCAAGAAATGGTGTCTCAAGTTGATAAATTTCCGCTTTTTGGTGGGCGCTGTGTTCGTTGCAATGGCGATTGCTGCTTGATTGTCGACAAGTAAGGGTGTGGCGGCTGGAGGGAGGATGGATAACTCCTGCAATATGCGTCGCAGCCAGAGAGTAGTCTGCACAGCCGTGGATGCCGCCATGTACTCGGCTTCGCATGTCGATAGGGCTTGCATGGATTGTTTGGTCGATGTCCATGCGACGGGGGCGTTTGCGAATAGATGGATGGCGCCGGTTGTTGATTTGCGATCCGCCTCGTCGCCAGCGAAATCGGCATCTGAATAAGATTGAACAGGGTGGGGTCGTGTGGGTGTGGTTGGTTCTTGAAGGACAGATGAAAGGCCGGTGTGAGATTTCGAGGGTTGGTACAAGATTCCGTCGTCTCTCGTGGCGACCAGGTATCGCATTAGTCGTTTTAGGTGAACCCAGTGGCGTTTGATCGGGCTATGCGTGGCTGCTGCCAGCTTGTTGACAAGAAAAACGATGTCCGGCCTCGTACAGTCTGCTATATATCTAAGTTCTCCCATAATTTGTTGGTACTTTGCCTTGAGATGGAGTATTGGGGTATCTTTATCTGTGGGGCCATGCAGTTTGATGCCATCGGTGTAAGGGGTGCTTTTTCCGTTGGCAGTGGTCATGCGCATGTGAGTGAGGACGTTATGGATGTACGTCGGTTGGCTGATTTTCACTGCTCCATTTTTCTGGTGTTGGATTGTCCACCCTAGGTACTGTGCTGGGGGACCGAGCCGTTTCACTTTGTACTTTTTTGATAGCGCCTGATGCAGCTTTTCGATGTGCGATGTGTGCGAGGCCACTATTAGGAAGTCGTCCGAGCTTAGGGCTATGAATATGAAGGATTTGGGTGAATGAATATTGAAAAAAAGACATGAGTCCTGCTCGCTTTGTTGGTAGCCGTGGCTGCGCAGGAATGTGTGCGCACCTTCGAGGTAAAATTATCCCCCTGAGGGAGTGCCGTATACGTTTTTGGTTAATCGCCCGCCTGGCCCCTTGTGTTTGAGGTGACCATTGAAACGTGGGTGCTGCTTCACGTACACAGGCTTTTTGTATTTGTAGTCTTCGTGAACGTAAGCTGACTTGAGGTCAAAGTGGTCACAGGCGAGGTTACCTGCGGCCTTTATTGCAAACAAAAGCCGTATGGTATCCTTGTCTGCCATATAAGAGGCTCGTTGGGAGGGGTCATAGTGGATATTCGGTTGCATCAGGTCCCCTCTTACTGAACACCTGGCTTTGTGCTCGAGAATGTCCCCATTTGTTGCGCGTTTATAGCGGTAGGTCATCCTGAGGGGGATCAGCCGGGTTTTGGGGGGGATGGAGGACCTGGGTAGCCATTTGATGGCTCCTGCTTCATCCAATTTGTCAAGCTCGAGATTGTGTGCCCGCTCCCACAGCTGAGCGTCGGGGTATCTCATGGCCTGCTTGTGCGATCGTGGTGCCGGTGTGGTTTCTGTTACGTGGGTGGGATCCGGGTGTGCGATATGCGTTTTGTAGGCTGTCGTTTGTGTGGCGACGGGGTCCAAGGTGCGGGAGTATGGTTTGAAATCGATCGTCCTGACTCGCTTGTATTCTCCAGTTGCGAGGGTCCGCACCATGAGATGCGATTCGTCGATGCCGAACATGTAACGGACAGGGTGTGCGCGGGCTTGGAGCTTTGTCTTACTGCGTATTATGGGAATGAACCCTCGTTGGCCGAATGTGTGCAATGAGGTAATTGCCGGTGCATGCCCGTTCCAAGCGGTAAACGGTAGTTGCTTGGATGTGTGGTGCATTGTTATGTTGTACTTAAACAACACGTCGCGTACTGCATCTTCCCAGTAAACGGGGGATAACCGGCTGTGGTAAAGGGCAGCGCGCGCTGCTGTCATTAGAGTATTGTTGATGCGTTCAGCAATCCCGTTTTCTTGCGGAGCGTAGGGCGTACTGGGTTTGAGCGTAATGCCCTCTGCGTGGTAATATTGACGTGCGGCTTTTGACATGTACTCGCCGGCATTGTCCGTCGTGAAAATATGCGGCGGCTGACCGTGACGTCTCTTGATGGTCTGTACTGTGGAGATTATGAATTGGAGTATGTTCTTTCTATTGGGCATGAAGTGTAGCATAGCATACTTGGACTTTGTGTCTATAAACGTAATGAAATATGCGTTGCCGTGGGTTGATTTGGGGGAGATGGGTCCGCAAACATCGGAGGACAGGGAAACAGCGATGGAATAGCGGTGCGTGGCTGATTTGTGCGGCTGCCGGCGCATTTTGCCGTGGGCACAGCCGGAGCAGGTGAGCCGTGGGGGGTTCGCTTGAGAATTGCTGGGAGTGGCAGAAGCTCGTTTTTTGCCATCGTCTGTAGGGTTCGGGGACTGATGTGGTTGAATAAAAGATGCCACTTGTGAAACGCCTTGGCGAGTTCCGACGGAGACTGACCTTTTTTGTTGTCAGAGTGCGGCATGCGGCCAGCCGCGGAGATGTTTTGGGTCAATTTGTTGGGTAAGCCGCGTGGAATAGCGCCAATGTTTGTACGTTTACCAGCGGATGTATCTTGTGTTGGCTGCTGATGAGTGGGTAGTTTTGATCTTTGCTTTGAACGACGTTTGATTGGGATAGTTCTGGCAGCTCGTGACGAGGGGGGTGGGCCTTGGAGTACTTGTTGGCCGTTGTACCATCTTGCTGTAATATGCCAGCGTGAGTGGCGCCGTTTGATGAGGAGGTGGCTGTTCTTGTTGTTAGTGGTTTTGTCAATTGGCGCATAGCAGGGAACGAAAAATTGACGTGAGAGGGGTGGGCTCCTGAGTCAAGTATGAACGTAAGGTTATGATCGTCCTCCTCGGATTCGGTTTCGTCCGAGACCTGGGCACCTGCTGCGTT